CCAGATCATAAAATTACCGCATTGCCACCCTCCTCCTCCTCCACCTCTCTCCAGGTTTAGGGTTTATTTTCCAAAGTCAAATCAAATCAAATGCAACAGCATCTATAAAAATTTCATCAAATCCCGACAGTGAAAGTGAGAGGATCCGAAAATGGCTTCTACATTTATGCAGCAATTTGCAATAAAGAAGAACATTTTAAAGAGGTCAACCAAGAAGTACTTAGAAGAAGCGCTTTACAAGAAGCTCTTTAAGGAAGGAGGAGAAGAGCAAAGGGTCGCCGAACAGCTGAATCAATTCTTGAAATCTCGCAAAAGTGCTTACAAATGGGAAGTTGGTCAATCCCTCAAGGTACTTCGCAGCCGCAAGCTCTACCGGCCGGCCATCAAGGTATGTTATGCAAGAACAGTGTTAAGATCAATAATTTACTGGCATTTTGTGTGGTTTTATTACAGATTCTGTTGTTGGTCAAATTTGAATGGGGTAAAATATATTTGAGGTCAGCCAAGGAGTTTAATTTTCAGTTAACTATTTTTAGTTCCAATCTCATCTGTGAAATTTCAATTTTAGTTTCGGTTTCGGTTTTGGTTTTATCAGTAATAACGATTTAAATCAAAACTAATTAATGTTATAGTAAAACCAAAATGATTCTAATCAAAATTAGTCAGACAGTTGGCTTTATTGTTGATACAAATAAACCTAAAAAATTTTAGAAAATAATAATGAGAGAATCGAGGAGCAATCCCAGATCTGAGTTGCCTTCAGCTGACTTTGGAGGTGCTCTGGCTTGGTACAGTGCTTTTACTTTTACCATGGCACTGTAATACAATTCAAAGAATTGCCTGGATTAACTCCTGTCCAGAAAACAAGTATTAAAGATTCCTTATGTGGACGATGTGGTTGTCAATAGGACTTGTTAATTATCCCAGTTGGACTTTTTAACTTGTTCAAGTCATGTTTACTTTACGCCTAACTTATTCATTAGTGAGTTTATACATTGACATCAACGTTTTGGCAAAGTCTCACCCTTGCTTTTTCCTGAATAAATAAAAAAAGTCTTTCAACAATAAATTTGCTGCTCCCCAACTGCATGAAATAGTTATAAAACAGACCTCAATTGAAACTTTCTTGCTTTAATTGGAGATGGATTGAGTTGAGGGGAAATGAGTGGGTCCTGAATTTGTATTTGATTGAAGGCAATAGGGGGATATGTTGTGGCTGAGGAAGCAGTTGAAGCAGTGTTTGGATCTTGGGGATTTGCCATTCTTATGGCTCTCAAATAAAATAAAATAAATCATTTGGGGAAGATGATAAATACACAGAAGAAATGAATGGATAGTTGGAGAAAATGCTAGCTCAATACTTAAGCTTGGCCATTCATTCTAGTATACATATTTTGGTGTCTGTTACAGTAACAAGCGCTAAAAATGCAATAGCAAACCTTTACATGTGTAGTTACGTTGTAATGCTTGCTTTCAACTAAAATGTTGATTAGTTTGTTCTGTTAATTATTTATTGTCTTCATTGAGTTGTAAGGTCATTTTGTATTATACAGAGATGCGATTGTAGAATTAATATTTGATAATTTCTCTTTTGCTTTCCAACTAGTAATGAACTAATTGATCCATTGTTGTTCTCCTGTAATTATTTTCAACATTTTCTGTAAAGCATTTAATATTAGACCACAATACCATATTTTGGAATAATGAACTCTGACGTAACATTCTATATATGTTGTACATTTGGGATTTATGAACTTTTTATACTAAGAACTGCAGAAATTTATCTACTTTTAAACTAGTTTTATTGTGTTGTTGTCACTTGTTGATGCTGTAAAATGTTTTTAAAAGCAACAACTATATGCTACACGACATTACTGAGTATTACTATATTTTTGCCCCTCCTAAAAATTAACTCTAGCCCGTCCCTGGTAAGGACTATTCTCTTATTAAATAAAGTCATTGGAAGTTGTTTTATCTGCTGTTTGTGTGTCATATGCTCTTTGTTGAAGCATTGTCAATGCAATCTCTGTGAACAGTGTAACCCCCATTTTAGACTTGATTAATCTGTGTCTATGATTCCTGCTAGGCTGCTATTATATGACAAATTTATTTGGAATATTTTCTGGATCATACATATTTAATGCTGCATTGCTGCGTAATACACTTGCATATGAAAAAATACACTTATATGTAAAAGTAATGCCACGATAATTTCTTTGTTTCTTCCAAATCCAAACTCAATATATCAATATGATCAACTCTTTTTATTCCAGTTGATATATTAATAACTGCAGTTGCACCGATTGTGACTTTACCATCCTTGCCAGATGTGTGCATTTGTTTTACACAAATTTCATTTTTGGTGTGGTCATCTGCTGAACGCCACTTATTTGTTATAGCTGTCAGAGACCATGACGAGAAGGGGTGTGAACAAGACAATAAGTGATGAAGCGATACATCTAGATCTTGTTGCAAAGAGTAGGGGAATTGCTGCTGCAGAAACTTACTTTATCAATCTGCCTGAATCCTCAAAAAACCATCTCACCTATTGTGCTCTTCTTAACTGTTACTGCAAGGATTTAATGACTGAAAAAGCCGAAACTTTGATGGAAAAGATGAAGGAACTTAATTTAGAGCTAAGTTCCATGCCCTATAACAGCCTCATGACTCTCTACACAAAAACTGGGCAGGCAGAAAAGGTTCCTGCGATCATCCAAGAAATGAAGTCATGTGATATCATGCCAGATTGCTACACCTATAATGTCTGGATGAGGGCTCTTGCTGCTATGAACGAAATATCTGGGGTTGAGAGAGTTATTGATGAAATGAAGAGGGATGGCCGAGTTGCTGGAGATTGGACAACATATAGCAATTTGGCGTCTATTTATGCTGATGCCAGATTATTTGATAAAGCTGAGAAGGCACTTAAGGAACTGGAGAAGCTAAATACTGTACGAGAACTTTCCGCTTACCAGTTCCTGATCACATTATATGGACGTACTGGTAATCTGCTTGAAGTATACCGTATCTGGCGTTCATTGAGGCTTTCGATTTCTAAAACCCCAAATATAAGCTATCTAAACATGATACAGGTGTTGGTTAAGTTGAATGATTTACCAGGTGCGGAGAAATGTTACAGGGAGTGGGCATCTGGTTGCTCAACTTATGATATTCGAATTGCAAATGCCCTAATAGGAGCTTATCTTAAAGAAGGCTCATTGGAGAAGGCTGAGGCACTCAAGGCACGGGCAAAGAGGAGAGGAGCCAAGCCCAATGCTAAAACTTGGGAGCTATATCTGGACTATTATCTGAAGAATAGAGAGATTAAATCAGCAGTAGATTGTTTCGAAAATGCAATTTCAGCTGGCAGGGGAGATGGTGGTAAATGGACCCTGTCACCTACCCTTATTGGGGAGATGATGCGATATTTTGAGCAAAACAAGGATGTTGAGGGTGCTGAACGTTTTCTGGAGGTTCTGAAGAAGTCAAAAGACAATTTGGGATCAGACGTACTTGAATCATTGATAAAAATCTATGCAGCTGCTGGAAAAACAAGTCCCATCATGCGTCGCTGGATTAAGATGGAGAATGCAGAATTGAGCGAGGAAGGTAAAAAATTACTGGATGTCGTCTGTAAGGGATGAGATCTTTTAGCTAGACATCTTTTTGTGTATGAAAATTTCCTTTAAAGAGGTAATTTAAATGCATTGCCGGTTATAACACTCTCAGTAGGTTGGTAGTGAAGATTTGCAATGTCACTTCAGAAGCTGATTTGTTCATTTGAACTCTTTCTTGTGCATTCTAGTGGCTTTTTGTGCCCATGATAAATTTTGAACAATTTCATGATCAAGTTTTGTACCTTTAGCAGCCATAATTTTGAAATAATAGAAAGTTTGGTCGTACTAACTTTGTACCTTTATTTTGGACTATTTCAGTAACTATTAACATAGATTTACTCCATTACTCGTACCTAAGACCCATGTTGCACAAAAACCTACTAAGAACCTATATTATGTAACTAAGATGCACTATCTTTATTTTATCACTTAGGAGCCACGTGAGATGAAAGGCTCATGCACGATTTTGAATGAGAGACTTAACTCTTCTAGTTTAACTTCAAAAGTAGTCGATTCTTGAATTTTCGATATTACATATATTTGTCGTCAAACAAATGGCATGTTTCCTAGGTTGTGGAAGTCGATAAAATCACAAAGTATATTTCATTAGTTTTCACTCAATTAGTCCTAACAGGCTTAGGTCTCCATGACCTCCAGCACAGCCACTTGTTCTCTCCAATTACACGATCAACAAATCTCCACTTTAATAAACTTTGTGCCATAGATTTCTCGTTGTCCCTTTGAGGGGAGTTCTCTATAGCAGCCTCAGGACTTCGATTGTCATTCCCCTCAACAATCTGGTTCACCATCTCAAGAACTTCGCTCATTCGGGGCCGCTTCTTGGGATGTCGAACCAGACACCTGTTAGCAATGGCGGCTAGCTTTTGAGCAGACTTGAGGGAATATTTCCCGTCTAGTCGAGAATCGAGAATCTGTTCGAATCTTTTACTGTTAGCAAGGTGTGGCCTAGCCCAGTCCAATAGCTTTTGCTCATTTTTAGGTCGATTTCTATCCAGAGGCTGTCGACCGCTGATGAGTTCATACAAAAAGACCCCATAACTCCAAACATCACTCTTCACTGTAAGGTGCCCTGTTTGTATGTACTCTGGAGCAGCATATCCTACCGTTCCAACAACCTGTTGGATGGCCAAATTTCATTAGCAATAATAATTATGACGATCTGAACACACGATTACTATTATCGTATGAATTCAAGTGTTTTTCCTCGTCGTGCTATTACAAGTGAAGTAACTCTGCCTATTATTTCTCACTTTCGGTCCCGAGGCCGATGGTTAGCATAGAACTTTGTCAGATTTTATTACATGAATCACATCAAACATTCGGTTGGGGTGATCTTGCTATGGTATGGAGAAAATGAATTCACATAGCGCACTCCAAACTTATACTAAGTTTTAGATGAATAGTATGTACCGCTGTGGAGACATAGCCTATTCCATCTAAAGGACCCAACCTTGCGAATCCAAAGTCTGAAAGTTTTGCATTCCATTGATCATCCAACAGAATATTAGATGATTTGAAATCTCTAAATATAATCTGCATCCAAATAATTCATACTCCTGTATTACGAAATTATTTTGATCCATTTGTGCAAAAGATAAATAAAACAGCATTCATAATATGCATTAAAAGAATATTTTCAATATGTAGTGAATTCAGGTACCTGAAATTCCATGCCTTCATGAAGATATGCCAAGCCTCTTGCAGCATCTTGGGCTATTTTCAATCTGGTAATCCATGGCAGAGATGCCTGAAATCGACTTGATAAATGGGCTTGTACGCTCCGTTTAGACAAATATTCGTAGATCAGAAGGCGTTGCATCCCTATCTCATCGTCCTCAGCACAGTAGCCTATGAGTTTGACAAGATTTGGATGCTCGACAATACCAAGAACGTTTACTTCTGTCACCCATTCCTTGTGTCCCTGTATGAAATGACGATTAACAGACAGAAAAACTAAATTAAAATAGATTAGTAATTGAATATGGATCCTACAGATTATAGGGATTAAAGTTTTAGCATGCCTACTATTGAATGGTGAAGTATTTAAAGAAAATGATAGAACATAAACGCGTCTTCTTAGGACATGTTTGGTACACAAAACTAATTTTCTCTTCAGTGTTTGATGCTATAATGTCTTTGGAAGTTGGAACATGGACAGGACTATAAATAACAAGAAAGAAGGATTGCCTGTAACCCCCTTCTGCTGAGTTGTTTAACAGCAATATCGATCGTTTCTGTCTCTCGCAATACACCCCTATACACAGGTCCAAATCCGCCTTCTCCAATCATAAGGGTACGGCTGAAATTCTTGGTAGCTGTCTTCAGCTCTGCAAATGTGAAGACCCTAAGTTTGCTGGGTCTTTGGGACAAACTTTTGAACGAGAACCTAACCGAGGATTCAGTGCTTATATCGGAAATGTTCTGAGAGTTGTACTCGGATCCAGATTTCTTCGTATCAGGATCTGTCAATACAGATGATGTAGATGAAGGAACAGGAGTATACTTCGATGTCTTTTGTTCATCATTTTTAGTACCATTGGAGAATGGAAAACACCTCATATTCTCCCAAAATTTCCAGTCCTTGCTGCAAATGCATATCCATGAAAAAATTCAGAAGGGGAACAAAGAATGGTATTACATTGTCGCAAGAACTCTTGTACGCAGCATTAGATAGGACTAGGACTCGTATATTTTGGATTCTTTTCCTTCCTGTCTGGTTGTGTCTAATACTATATAAAAACATAACCTCAATTGCTAGTCATTAAATCCAATATAGAAAGGTTAACTCAAAAATGTTCATGACAAATTAGTGACATGAAAGAGGGTACACAAGAAGCCATAAATTTGAATATTAATGCTCAATTAATTATTAGCTTCTGGGGGTGTAGGCATGCATGGGGAGAAATATCATTAATCATCATAAAAAAAGAATTTACATTAAATCATTATTCTGATCTTATGTTGATTACCAGAACTCACTTTGAAATTGAAAGCTCAAAAAATTCTCAATACCCTCCAGAAATAGCTTCAAGAAAATATGAACATAATTCAGAACCGGAAAGTTTTTACCTTTGAGAACGAGAGGAACCAACAAATACTATGAACATTCACTCTTCATTTTGTGGCTAGCTAGTTTTCAAACAAATAAATTAAAGCAGTAAAGGGTATTTAGAGAATCGTATGTAGCAACGAGGACATCATGATCTAAGGAAGTCAATGCTAGGCAGCTGGAAATTTGCTAACCAACCTATTTGAAAATGACAAAGGTAAATAGAGATACGATAAAACTCACTTTTAAACCGACTTGTTAAAAAAAAAATAGTCTTTCTCAAACGTGGAAATGACATATGGCTTTGTCATCTGTAAAAAAAACATTTGTGGAAGATGAGTGAAGATGTCATAATCTTGTTTTGAAATATGTACTGCTTGGTACAGTTTGGGATCAAAGTCACACATTTGCAAAATTTTAGTACAGACATGCATCATCATACCCACCAAGAAACTAGTTTCAGATTGTGCCAGCTGACCTTACCCCAAATGTTTGTCTTATGTCAGCATGACGGAAAAAATAAGATGTATTATTGTTTTAAAATGACTACATATTAATAGGATTTAAATAACTATATATTAAAGAAGAATGGAATAATTATAGACCGAAATATACTGTTCAATGGTAATATTTTAAAAAATATAATTGTTTGATGTTTATATCTTTTACTCTCTATAGAACAATATTAGAGAAAAAAACCTGGTTTTTGGAATTTCATAGTTCTTTTTCTCTCCCATTAGCTAGCATTTCTTGATTAACAAAGAAATTCAAATAAATAATAAAAAAAGGAAAGTTGTACGTGTGTGTGTTTAAAAAAAGATGATGGCATGATAGGATGATAACGTGACTGAACATTAAAGTAAAATATCTTCATTTCTTGAACAATTTCTCCATCTACTTTTTTTTTGTTCAATTTTTCTTATTTCTTTAAGTATGACTTAAATTTAAAAACAAAAGAGTAGGGTGGAGATCATTTGTTCCCGTCCTCTTCCTGATTTCCCAACTAACCTGGAAATCTCCGTCCCATTTAGAGAATGACGAAATTGAGTGGGAACGAGATATTTTATCATTCCTACTTACTATAAAAAGCGTGCAAGTGATTAGCTTTATATTGAAACAAGAATGATTAAGAGTTGATGAAGAGGAATGATTCTAGAATGCCTTAGAATGTCATCATTT